TAGTGGATCGAATCAAGGGTGGTGATTTAATGCCCTTGTGGTTTATAAAGGGAAATAGTGAATTCGCCAATGAAAAGTCGTATTTATCAAATGTCAGTTCGTTGTAGTTGACCTATCGGATACGGATCAGTGCACGATCACCTTTTATCTCGGTCTACTTTCTCTGGGGGCGTTTATATTTTCCTGACCATCGAAGTCTTCATGCGCCTTAAAAATGAGAACATACTGATCAGCAGCTAACGTCTACTTTACGGCAACTATTGGCTGACACCCACAGCCTCCTGAACTATGTGAAAGGCAGCAAGAAATAAGATGCTGCAGACGCTAACCTGTTATCCATAGAATATGACTACCTTATCTAACTGCATACGATCAAACCCGATGCTCTTCAAAGCTCTAGGCAATTTCCCAGACATCTGAGCAAATCGATTTTGTTATAAAGTTGAAGACGAAGTGCTACAGCTTAAATTATTGCACTGAATTGGACGGTGACACTGACCTGAATATTTGCTGGCTCAAACTATGCACCTCTATATCATTCAGAATCGGCAGAAAATTAGAAGTTGTTGTACATAGAGTAGTGAGAAACCGAATCTGTGCGGGTCGTGAAGACTGAAACCGTCTTTGGCACGAAACTATCTACAGTCAGAGGTAACTGAAGCACTTTATTAAAAATTATTCCCGGAATACCGACAATCTGTTCGAGCTTCGGCAATGAAGTGTGTAATGAACAATTACTGTACTAAAAGAAGTCTGCTTTAAACAGCCTGTGTGCCACTAACAGCTACCGTTATAACAACCCGTATCTGACTGTAATGGCGTAAAATTGGAACTAAGACGGTCAGCCCAAAAAACTATCAATGAGTCCAAAATATTTACCACCGGAAAATTTCTCGGCCAAAATATGATGGTTCTGTCGGAGCGCTGCGGCGGTCATGACGGATTTTCCTTGTCCTGCCATTCCGTAGAAGAGAAGCCAAGCATTCGTAGGAGTATCAATAACCGGATATTCCAGTTTTGCTGTGTCCAATGAAGCACAAGAGAAATCTTTGATGGTCTGCCGCACGACGAACTGTGAGGCCAGCCATTCTAGACCTTGAGTAAGTGCTGCCAACACTTTGGGACGTTCGATAAAGGGATAGGGTCGGTCGGGGACGTCACCATGGAGAAGCGCTTGATGAATATCCGTCAAGCTTCCCTGGCGCTCCC